ATGCATGTGAAGCCAGCTGTGGGGTATATTCAATCCTATAGATTTCTCATTGTTTGGTAACTATTTGCTGCAAATGCAACAAAAATCAATATAAAAAATATTACCCACACAGTATTCTACAGGTTACTTGTATTCGCTAGATTTTATTTTCACTGAATTAGCCCTTCAGCGAAAGTAGCGAAAATTAATTTCAAGCGAAAATAAAGTATTTTACAGTACACATTCTTGCACACACTTCCCAAAACATATACCGGTACATGTAAGTGATAATAACTGCTGCATCTGCTCTATTATAAGCACAACTCTATCATGTGAGCTAAAAAAATGTGGAAATGGTGGAATTTTGAGTACACTAAATAGACATTGATTCATTTGTGTAGGTATGTGTATTTTCTAAAGCGTAGATCTGGTACATATATACAGTAGTACTGTCCCAAGGCCAGGCTCATATAATGTGACATGGTACTTGCATTAGTCCTGTAACATTCTCATACATACAAGAATATACGCATAGAATTTCTCAAATACATGACTCCACCAATTATAGTACATGGCATTTTGATTACATATTATTTATTATATTTTCACGATCTAGAAGTGTTGGGATTTTTTTAAACAAAGGAACAGGGGCGCAGCGCCCTCATGCCATTGTCATGCACCCCCTTACCCTGAGGAGCAGATCCTCTGGCAACCATAAAATTCTGAATGACCAGGGATCACATATGGCCACAGTCTTCAACTGTGACCTGTCTGATAGCAATTTTGGCCCCAAGCAAGCCATAGAATGCTCCATTTTAACTTAGAATTATCAAAAACTCCACATCCTGGTAGGGAGAACCATATCTCCCCTATTTGGTGGCGCCACTGAATTGCAGTGCTCCCTCTTGCAGTTTTTTTCTAGAAAAACCCCTGCAAAAAATATACGCATATAACTTCTCAAATACATGACTCCACCAATTATAGTACATGGCATTTTGATTACATATTATATTTTCACAGTCTAGAAGTGTTGAGAAAATAATTTCATAGAGGTCAATGCCTAGTCAGATATTTTCTTCACAATTGCACTTTAAGAAATGTATGCTTTTTAATTGCACACTCTCAGAATACAGATACTGTGGAATACTTTGTTTTTGCTGGAATTAATTTTCGCTGAAAAGGCTTTTTGGGCGTTTTGTATGGAACTTATTTTCACTGATTTTTGATGAGTTTAATGTGAAATATAGGAAAAAAAAGTATATTCGCTGGATTTTATTTTCACGGAATCATCCATTCAGCGAAAATAAAGTATTCTACAGTATGTAAACCTTGCAAGCCAAAGTGGTCTTACAGTTTTACCGATAACTTAATACAATCAGGTTTCTATTGCTACATATAAGAAGCAAATACATGTATACAGGGGATCATGTAGGAGCATTTTCAGTAGGACAAACTTTTTTTAACCTTCCCCTGCAAGTCAATTCATAGCAATGTTAGCTAATGCTACGTAACGCTTGTGAAGAACTGATGGTTTAATAAAAATGCTTAGAGCACTCACGGTTTCTTCTTGAAGAAGTGAAGGCACCTAAGGATTTGCTCCATGTATTGAACTGCTTTATATATTGGTGAATCTGTCATTTTGATTACATCTGATTTTTGATGTGCAGCTGTTATACTCAGAGAAGAATGTATGCCTGTACTAAGACAGTATTCATTAGTTGGGAAATTCTGTAACACCATCACTCGTACTGTATTTTCTCTATTAGTAGTGCATGCACTAAACGTATGTCCCAATATGTTATATTGTAATGATCTTACATACAACAAAAGCAATTCTTTGTTTATGAACACTTCTATAAAAGATGCATGTCTAGCGAAGCAAACATGGTAAACATTTTTATTGTCCATTACAAACACTGTACTACAGTCAAATACTGAAGGTGAAATATCATGGGTACAACTTTAGCAGTTTTGAGGTTTTAAATTCAATGATCTATGAATAAAACAATACTACTACTAGTATACTATGAGGTTTATTATGACGATACCTCAAAGTATGCGTGAAGGCAATACAGCGGAAGTACTGACCTTCGCGCAGTGGAAGTTGATGTGACAGCGTACTGTCTGAGTGCATACTTTGAGGTATCCTCGTAATAACCTTATTATTATACATCTTTTCCTTCCAAGGATACATCATTGGAAAGCCGAAACCCAAAAAGCTTAGAACAGAATGACAGCGAACTTCTTTGTGTGGAGTTCGGTCAAACACTGGTGGCAGCCATGTTTGTTTTTATTATTAGAGGACGCTTATGCGCGTAATCATTCCATATTTGGAATTCACATACGGCACACTGTAACTTATAGCGTTACGGTAATAGATGTATAATAATAGTATATATTCTATTGTTAAATTTGAATATAAACTGGATTTACTTGCTACACTAAAAAATTATGAGTAGGCTTCTACCTTAAGTGAGAATAAAACCATGCTAATAGCTAAGCCCTATATAGTATTACTTATATTTGATCTGGGAACAATGTCTCTGAAACTGTCAGATAGCTTGTCACAGCAAACAATCACATACCCCAGACCATTTTCACGAACTTGAAAGCAAGAGAGTTACACTCAAGGTACTCATGAAAACATTTCTCAGTGGAAGAAAAAAAAATGGTTATAGCATCACAGCCAATGCACAGTGAGTGTTTGATTTTTGTTCAAGCATAATGACACTCGCATAGAAAAGGTGATTCATGGTGTGACAAGGTAAAACTAGATACAGTACTACCATGTTTTAATTAATTTCAACATCAAAACTAAAATATGTGCATAAATACACCTTTTGTGTTTTTAACAGCTTTATAAATAATTCACCACAATACGTAATGCTTAATAATGATAACATGGGGTTCCATGGTAACATATTTCGCGAACTGTAAATATGTATTAATCCAGGTCATGGTGAGTAATAATGACGTCATTGCTGAGGCGAAGTCGTTTCCGCACCAGGGGTCAACTTTACATCATGATTGCCGTCCTGCTCACCAAGCTTGTCCCCAATCATTTTAGCCACCTCTTCCTCCTCCGGGGTCATCAAGCTCATGATTTCGGCCTGACTTGCAGCGTACGCATTTGGATGTTGTTTGGCGACTTGAATCTTCAGCGACCGTATCCTCGTAAACACAGTTTCTAAGTCTTTCTTCATATCGACTAACGTTCTAGTATGTTCCTTGAATTGTCTCATCGATTCGTCGTATCTCGATGTAGACAGTTTGTTGAAACTAGACAGCATTTCGTTTGTCTTCTCAAATCGATTCAGCATCTGTCGCTGGGTTAATATTATTTCATCAACATCTTCTCTGTTTACAAGCGACGATAGCAGCGAAATGAACGCATCCGACGCTGGGGTGTCTGTCTTCAGAGGTGTTTTGGGAGCATCCATGGCGTTAAAATATTACTGACGATAAACAAAAGGTCATCTCAGTCGCAATAACTCTCAGAAATACTCCAGAAATGTAGCGGTTTTCGTCCAAAATCGATCAAGAATTCACTTCCTCCGATCCAGCATAAATAGCGCCACCACTATGACCTATATTAACAGTTCAGTTCGTTTGTTCGCTGTGTCTCTTTCAGCCATGAAAGACGTTGGATTAACAAAGTTAAATTAAAAATAAATTAACTTGACCCTAAACATTAAACTATTGACATCGAATATTTAAATAAAGAAACAAGATTTATCCTTTAATTAAATGATATATTTTATACCATTTTTACTTAAATATACTTTTCATCTGCTATTTTGTTTTATTAAGTTATTCTTCATCAAAATCTGAATTTGGATGGACATTTTTTGTTTTCCCCATGTCTGAGGTAAATAAAAACAATTGCATTACTTTTAGTATAACTCACTATCATGCCAGATGTATATTTAAATGATTTTTTTGGTATTTTTAGCAACTTGCTTGTTGAACTTCATGCACTGCTGCATGTACATGTGTTGTAAATGTTTCAAGTAATATATCCTATCCTAACATTGTCTATTTTACTTGATGTTGCTTAGAGCACAATCATCTGTTTGGACGTATGCATGTAATTTGACAGTGTGAATTTGAGATAATTTTAGTAACTGTATTCTGAAGTTATAAGTTAGGGATTGGTCAGTTACTTCGGCCTGGGGGGGGGGGTCGGCAGATTCCATTTTGCCAGCTGTAAATCTGTTGACCCACCCCCTATCAAATAAAAAAAAGTGGGTGACCCCCCCAACATTATATTATTATGTGCTTATGAAAACAAAGGAAATTTTGATTTTTGCTTAAATTTGTGTTGGATTTTGGTATTTTACAGAGCAAAATATGCATATTTAAAAGTTAAAAAAACAAACAAGCAGCCTGTCGGCTGAGATAGCTCCGCTGTTAGCAATGCACATGGCAATTAAAGAACAGAAGATATCATTAGAAAATGAACAAATCTGAGAGAGGACCACATGTAGTACCTATATGTATAATATATCAAAGCAATTGGACTTGCGGTTTTCAACAAGAAGTCGAAAATATCACTTTTTACCAAAAATTACAAAAATATTCACCAAAATTAGAGAATTGAAGATATCATCACGAAATGAACAAATCTGAGAGAGGTCCACATGTAGTACCTATATATGTAATATCAAAGCAATTGAACTATTGGTTTTTAACAAGAAGTCGAAAATATCACTTTTTACCAAAAATGACAAAAATATTCACCAAAATTAGAGAATTAAAGATATCATTACAAAATGAACAAATCTGAGAGAGGTCCACATGTAGTACCTATATATGTAATATCAAAGCAATTGGACTTGCGGTTTTTAACAAGAAGTTGAAAATATCACTTTTTACCAAAAATGACAAAAATATTCACCAAAATTAGAGAATTGAAGACATCATCACAAAATGAACAAATCTGAGAGAGGTCCACA